AGATGTCACTCTCGAGTGTGTGTGTGTGTGAGCGAGAGAGAGATTGTGGACAGTATTCCAAACAACAACATTATAGAAATATCCAGGTGACTTTGTTAGAGTCAGGAAAGTGTAAAAAAAATAAATAAATAAATAAATAAAAAATCAAACAATGAAATCACAAAATAACACATTTGAACTTAGGGATGAAGGCATTTTGGATTTTTGACTTTGGTCTGAGCTAAAATCTCTGATTTTCTCTATGGACTTTGGAGAGTCTCGTTGATACCTCAGCCTTCAGTAGGTACAGGTTTGATTCGTGTCCATGAGCTACATGAATGTCCGACCTGAACATCTATAATCAGACCTGTCAAACCCAGGTCTTTCCGACCAAAGACTACTAAGACAATCACTGTGGTCGTGTCCTACCTGTCGGCTGAACACTGGGCAGCCTGGCCGCGGCCACGCACAGAGGCAGGAGGAAGGAAATCCAGAGCGAGCAGCGCAGCGCCCTCATTCCTCTGGAACACCAGGTGAGACACGGAGCAGCTGGGCTCGACTCAGAAAACATCCTCCATGTTCATGCTGCCGTCACGCACAACGGAGGCTGCAGCAGCCGCAGGAAAATATCCAAAACAATCCCTGAACTCCCAAGGACCTGGAAAAACATGAGAAGAAGAATTGAAGCTGAAGACTTCACACAGCAGATGGATGATACAGTTCAGGTAGATTAACACGACACGAGGTGGGATCCCACATTTACAGCCATGTTTTGAACTCACAGAGACAAGAAGATCCCTGTAAACAACCCAGGTAGTTGGTTTTTTTTCAGAGTATATGATGCTGATAATAACAGGCTTCATAAAACTGTCTGCAGCCTTAAACAGACGTGGTCTTACTGAGAGACCTTTCTCTTCTTCTTCTGCTCCACAAACTCTCCTCTCTGCAGGAGTTCACCTCTGCGTCACAGATGGACACGGATCAACTGTTGGTCTGACAGAGTCGGGAATGTGAACCAGCCGGAAGGAGAAAGAATGAAGAGGTGGAGGAGGAGGAGGAGGAGGAGATGCTGTTGGAGGGATGGTGATGGCTGCAAGTGGCACTGGTGGAGCAGTTTATGACTGATCTGTGTTTGTTTAGGCAGGGAGAAGCTGGAATGTTCTGATGTTTGAAGAGAAATAAAGAGCTGAAGGAGAGGTAGAGAGAGAGAGGGAGGGAGAGAGAGAGAGAGAGAGAGACTCAAAGGTCCACACCCACTACACACACACACTGTACCAGGTTGTTGTTCAGACTCTCCGTCACGTTGGAGTCGTGGAAAAGCAGCAGATGTGAAGGTGTGAAACCAATGACACCACAGACGTTAGCACTCTTACAATAAAGCTAATGCTAATAAAGCTAATGCTAATTTGCTCTAAAGAACTAAGACGTTCTTCTCCAGAACATGAACGTTCTGTCTACGGTCAGATTGATCTAAAGGTCCATGAAGACCAAGTGTTGGTCCCCTGGTAGTGAAGATCCGAAGGTCAGAGACCAGTATTCATACCATCGACTCCATGGTATGGATATATAAGTACTCACAAGAGTATCGATTACTCTTACAAAGTATTGATACTAATTCATAAATGTAAAAAGCTCATGTGTCACTTCCACACCTTTTCTGATGCAACACCCCCTGACCCTGCAGTAATGAAAAATTGAACTGGTCCATTCATGTCACATGACCACTGACCAGAAGAGAGCAGCGACCCCATGTGATCAGGTCCACTACGTATCTTTGTCCCTTAATGGAAGCAGTTGAACTATTCAGGTCACATAGGTGTCAAAGAATTCATTCATTTATTATGACTAATGTTGTGAAAGATACACTCTAGTTAGAGTAAAATGGCCAGTATTTGTCAAAATGATAAAGTATTGATATACATACTATATACCAAATCAAAAGAAGAGGGAAAAAATCAGGAGGTGAGAAGAGGGTGAAGAATAAAACAAAAAACAAGGAGAAAGAAGAAGAAGAAACATGGGAGCTGGGGTTGAGAAGGAGTGTAAGGAAGAGGAGGCTGAGATAAATGAGCCAAAAGAGCAAAGTGAAGGGGGAGGAAAAGAGGGAGGAAGAGTGTGTTTGTATGTAAACCCTGAGAATCTCCTCTTAATAAGGCCTGCAGCTGAATGAAAAATGAAAAAAAAATCAAACCAACATGAGGTTTGGGAGGAAAAGAAAGAGGAGGAGGAGCAGAGGAGGTGTGGACTCGCAGTTCAAAGCCTGACAAAAGTGTTTTCATGCTGATATTTTCTCTTAGCGTAAAACGAGCAGAGCTGTGAATAAAACATGAATAATAATAATAATAATACTGCACCACTAGCTGCAACTGTGTGTGTGTGTGTGTGTGACATCCTGGTCTTACACACACACACACACACACACTCCTGTAAATGTTCCATAATTTATCAGTAGAATCAACAGCCTGAGTCCAGATACACTTAGTCTTATAGTGTGTGTAATAAAGAGGCTTTTACAGAGTTGTTTTTTCTGGAGGATTCTAGAGCAGAAAACTGCAGGGCTGGAGGTGGAGGACGGGACAGTGGAGAAACGGGTGAAGCTCTGAATCTAAAGTCTCCACGGTTTACATGAACCACCAGCTACGAGAAGGAACCAGGACGAGAACGGCCAACTGACAGCAGTTTGTCTCCAGACCTCAGTCACAGACTCCACACAGGACTGACACAGGAAATCCACAAACCCACTGAGATATTTGTCAAAATAAAAAAACTTCTTTTGCTTTTTAAACACTCATCCTGGCAGAAGATCCACCTCTACAACCACCCACTGCTCCATCAACTCACAGTGAAGCCCCTCCACCAATCAGAGTCATTCTGCTGCGTTCCTGTTCCGTCTTCACTCAGACACAGCTTCAAGGTGAGAACAGATATTGATCAGGTGTGAGGCAGAGACACAGAGCGTCAACTTTAAATCTGTCACCTTCACTGATGACTGTCTCCGGGGTAAAGTGGCTGCAGGTGGAAAACTTCGGACTCTGGATTATAGAAAACCCTGGTTCTAAATGGAAGCAGCCTCCAGAACTTCACGATTTATTCTGACTTCACGGCAGTGATTAAATGGTTCTCACACAACCTGGTTCTGGTGACTACCTCGAGGTGCGGTTCACAGTTACAGTGACTCAGTTAGTAAAAAAATAACAAAACAGATAAAGTTCATCATTTGAAGTATTTCATCTTTGTTACAGAGACTGAACAGGTTTGATCAACCTGATGTTTTTAACTTCAGCCACACTTTTCTGTTTAAATCAGGTCTTCAACAGGAGGTCTGCAGCCCTCAAGGTGACCACTAGGGGTGCTACAGGGAATTGTAGAATAGTTCATTTGACTTTTCTTAACATAATTATATTTCCTACATGTATTCAATATAAGTAAAAAAAATATTTGAACAGCTTGTATTAGTGAGTATTTATTTTATTCAGACTGATCAGTATTTGAATGGTTTTTTTTTTTTTGGTTATCACATATTTGGATATGTTTACTTTTCAACAAATACATTATGATGAATAGCTCAAAACAGTTAGAGATATATCCTGATACATGGCCTGAAACAAAAACCCTGGTTAAGAATTAAAATGATTTTTTTTTCCACTGAACTATTTTTTTGCCAGTTAAACCAGAAAAACTTTGTGACTTTTTGTCACAGCCTTAAAGTTTTTCTTTTTTTTACTAAACTTTGTGACTTTTTGTCACAGCCTTAACATTTTTCTCTTATATCTTTTTTTACTAGGTACTACTTTTACTAAGTAACAAATAAATAAATTTAATTAATATTATTTCAGAAATAGCTAATCCTAAAACACTATATATGAATAATATATATATAAAAATTCTGACCAAAAATTGACTGCATGTGTGACAGGAGGGAACCTTTCAAAAACCTAACGGTTAAAGAGACACGATTGTTTCTAAATTATACAGAAGCCTCTGGTTCCATCAAACAGGCACAAGTTAAAGTTGAAAAACTATTAATTGGAGGCCGACAGTAGTTCAAAGCCCAACAGTTCACTGCTGCAGGAGACACAGGATTTATTCTCAGTCTAACTGTTAGTTTGTGCCAGAACTTGGACTTTTCTTCCTAATCAGACAGGTCAACGCAGAGAAGACAAAAAACTAAAGTGACACTGACAGTGTAAACAATGACAGACTCATTTCAAACCACAAAAGTTTCCGACTGAAAAGCCTTTTATGTTATTTCTCAGGTCAGTGGCTACAATTAATAATTAGGAGCATTAGAGCGACGATTATCATTACCCTGCACACGCTGCCTTTACGGCTGACTAATTTGATACACGTCTCTAAATCTCACTTTAGCAACGGTAGAAACAAGGCTGCTGTTGTTCAGAGCAGGTTATACAGTGATGACTGCTGACGCTCGGAGCTGAGAAAATATGAATCCACTAACGTGGGTTGTGTGTGTGTTTGAAAAGGGGGCTGAGAGGCGGACTAATGCTGCTGGACAGAAAATTATTTCTGAGCAGAGAGGACGGAGACATGCAGGACAAAATTCTGCTGAATTTTAGGAAATAAAAAAAAAAAATCAATGGCCGGAAAATTAGGAACTGGTTCTCTGAGTAAGTCCTGACGAAGAAAAAGTCAACGAGACACGAGAAACAAACAAAGACCTGGTTTGAACATCAGGATGAGGAATCCCAACACGTCAGCTCAATCCATGTTTGGAACCATGCTGTGAAAGATCAACTCAGTGAGGCCTCCAATCAGAAAAACCTTTGGAAATCTGAAGTCGCCCTTTAAATCCATACCATTTACTTTGGTATCTTAAAACCTTCTGTTCAGTTCATCCATCAGTTCAATGCTTGGTGTATTAAATATGTCAAGTTGCAGTATTTATTTTCTGTAACAAAAATAAAATAAATATAAAATGTCAGCTGAGCTATTTAAGATATTTTTACAGGCATTTTTCAATTGCAGGGTTTCTGAAACCGGCTTAGAACCAGTGTCATAACAACCAAACACAACCATGTCATTACAACAACAAAACTTAAACCAGTGACGTCATATTTTATAGATATTTCACTGCATTGATAAATATTCCAGCTGAATAGAAACATCAGTAGGTAAAAAAGATCTTGACTTTTACTACTGTCACCAACTTTAGAAATGACTCAGTGATCTGACTCTGACTCTGACCACAGTACAGCACAGGCTGAGTTGACATGAATGTTGACATTTTTAACAGAGTAAAAGCAGACAATAAATGTGCAAAGAATATATCTATATATATTTAGCAGAGTACATGGACTGGTGGTCAAAGTTCAATCAAGAATATAACTATAATATTTCTGAGCTGCACTAACTTAAACTTTCACCCAGAGCCAGAACTTATCAGCGTCTGCAGCTTTTTGCTGTGGACACATCTTAGTCCAAAACCTTCAGAACCAGGTTTCAGGTCTGAGACTATGTCTCAAGAAAACTTAAAAAAAAACAACTCAATTTCACCTTTGATGAACAGAAAGGCAGGAGCTGCTGTGATCACAGGAGACTAGGAATCAACAGCAGGTGAGGACAATCACACTTGATCAGACTCAACACCTGGTGTCAGGTCCCAGGTCTGGGACTTGGTCAAACACTAGAGTCCTCTCCTCACATGTCCTCACAATCAGACCTACAGCCGCAGATATTTAATAAAGATGACAATCTGTTCTCAGCTGCTGATTCGCTTCAGTCTTGTGTGTGTGTGTGTGCGTGTGCGCGTGCGCGCGTGTGAGGAGACATTTGTGGAGGTTGATGTACCAACGTTGGCAGCTGGAAAATAAATGAATACATAAATAAACAGTCGAGTGTTGAGTTACTTTCTGTTTTGTTTTGTTTTTTTAACGGTAAAGCTTTTGTTTTCTCTGCCTGTTTTTCTGCTGATTTAACGATCATTCATTCAAAGTAATGATGATTTATTCCGCTGCTCACACCACAATCATTCCCCCTACAGGGATAATAAAGTGCGTTGTACTAGAGCTGCTGCCGTGAATCACGTCGGAATGATCCGGACGACGCGCCGTGAAACTCTTTCCCAGCGGAATTCTGAGTGAAAACGTTTAAATGGGAATTTCAGATATTTAAGCAGGCTGTTCCAGTCCCGCTGCTGAGCACATTATACCGATTTAAAAGAGAAAAATCATTTATCTTGAATAATTCTGTGAGATCTACATTTTTATTGTGAAAATGTATCTGCGCCTCAGGGTGAAAACTGTGGAACTTAAACCCTAACGTAAACAGTCTTTGTTAGGGATGAGTGCGTCAATTATTTTTAATAGAAAAACTCTCATTTGGTTTTGTTTTAAAATGAGATTATATGAGAAAAAAAATATTGATTTTGTTTCTATGCGCAGTAAGAATCAACATCCACCTCAACAAACAGGAATCCATGCGTTTCTGCTCCAAATATGAACAGCTCTAAAGACAGCGCTCGTTATTTGATCGTCTTCGGTTTCACACTTTCACCAACGACATTAGGGATTTTCAAGAAAACAGAGAGTTCCTAAATATTAGGATCAGGGCGTTTCTGGGTTAAGTTAGGCAGAGAAGTCCGCTCCTCCAGAGGAAACATCCAAGCCTGGATCAGCACCACAAACACGTCCGAACCCCAACGAGCTCCGACCCGCACTCCAGTCCCCCATTCCTCGGGCGGACGACGCACGGATCCAGCTGCGCCGTGTACGCACAGACAGAAGCAGGAACCAGGACACGACTGTCGGTCCGCTCCACCTGCGCCGCGGCCGCTGCTGCCGCATCTCCGCGCACAGAAGCGCACGACGAACACCGTGAGAAAGTCCGTGATCGCGTCACATGGACGAGCAAGTGGCGAATTAGAAACTCTAATATTGTTATTAATAGTAATAATAATAAATGAAATAATTATTCTTACCGTCAATGTTGGAGAGGAGAAAATCTCAGCCGTCACCAAACATCCAGGTCCAGAAAGAAAAACAGACTTTAGTTTCCACGAAACTGAGTAAAATCCACAACATATCACTTAAATCCTCAGGTGCTGCTCGTGTTCAGTCCGGTTCAGCGTCAGTGAGGAGTCGGAACAGAAGAGAACCGGCCCAGGGTCCGGGGAGGCTGCGGGCACCGCCGCGGAGAAACTACAACTTCTGGCTTCAATCCCAGCTGTGGCAGCGGAGTCCGGGTCTCCGGGCTCAGCTCATCCCGAGGTTCGGTGCTGGTTCCGGAGTGTGTGTACGCAGCAGGAGGACAGACAGCAGGAGGGGTGTGTGGCTCCTCTGCTCCGGTGTGGACATTCCAGTCCAGTGTGTGTGTGTGTGTGTGTGATGTGTCTCCTCGGTCGAACACAGTGTGGAGTGTGAGCTGCTGCTGCTGCTCCTCAGCGAAGTAACAGCTGCTGAACGAAGACAGACGACAACAGCAGACTGTCTACTTCCGGTCCAGGACTCCACAATAAATGTGGTGACGCAATGGTTTCTGAACGCATTCCTTTTTTTAAAATTAGTGTTAACAAATGACTGCGACAGACTAACGTGCAGTACACGTTGTACACAGTAGTAATGGAACCACATATAATCAAAACTGAGGACTATGTTGCAGTTATTGGAATATTCCAATCAAGAAATATATTATTATTATTATTATTATTATTATTATTATTAAAGGCATTCAGACAACTGTTTTGTTTTACCTTACCAACCATAAGTCGTTATAAAGCTATTTCTCCGAGGTTAGCCCTTTATTGGCTTTGCATTCAAAGTGACTCACTGTATTTCAGTTAGAATTGCCTTCAATTAATTCAGAAGAATTCAGTTAATGGGGGAGTTTAATGAAGACCAACTGATTAGACCAGAAATAGAGCACCACCAGATAGAGTGCGATTCAGCGCAGACTTTTATTTTGAAGAATCGCACACCGTGTGCGTGTTGCTGTTGCGCGCTTTGCTGTTTCTCCGCTGTTCTGCTGAAGTCTCTGCAGGATCCTGTGACTGAGGCACCGCTGGTGCAGCAGCAGCAGCAGCAGCAGCAGCAGCAGCGGGGGGAGGGTGGATAAGGTTTCACTGCACCGCCCCTCTGGGTCTGCCGGAGGCAACAAGTGACAAATTATTCCAGCGCCCACCCGTTACTGCTCAGACCTGGATCAGAAGAAGTAGAATCCAGAACTGATGCTGCTGGAGATGATGATGAGGAGGATGGTGATGAAGATGAAGACAATAATGAAGGTGGTGGTCGTGGTGACAATGAGCTTTCAAATCCTGCAGACAACTCCAACCTCAGCCTTAATTTTCTTCTGTTTTGCTTAATTAAAGACAGATGAATTCTCTATCTCCCTCCTAGTCCCTCCCTCCTCTCTCTCTCTCCCTCTCTCCCCCTCTCTCTCTCTCTCTCCCTCTCTCTCTGATGAGGCTGTAAGTTAAATTCACTCTTCACCACAGACCCCATCATATCTCCGCTCCGTTAGTTTCCCTGCTCATTAACAAATGTATGTTCATGTGTGTTCATGTTTCCATGACCAGTCGTGTGTCTGAGGGATCAGGACACAGAGACACTTACACCTGGAGTGTGTCGACTGAACACCACATTACTGTTAAATGGCCATTTAATCTGTCCTAAAGTGCAGCCTGGGGCTAATTATCACCGTCGGTGCCCACCTCCTCCCCGAGGTGTTTAAACAACAACAACAACAACAACAACAACACAATTACTGCCATCTCCTGAAGTCTGCAGCTTTATGAGGCCATAAAGCACAGCGACACTGTGTGTGTGTGTGTGTGTGAGTGTGAGTGTGTGAGGAGTGTGCCACTGCAGATGTAAAGTCACCAACATGACAACCACAACAACAATGACAGTCCCCTTTGCTGCAGGAGATACAGTATGAGGTCACAGGTCATGTCTAGGCCAAGGAGCATCACCAGGAGGAGTGGACAGATCTGAAGGAACCACACGTTTAAATCCAGTCTGATGTGGAGATGGAGGTGAGCTGCATGGACGAAAGCCTGATCTAACAGAGAACAGGAAGTGTTTACATGTGATTACTGGATCAGAATATATCAGCGTGTGTGTGTGTGTGTGTGTGTGTGTTTCATCAGCTCAGATCAACCAGACTGAGGTGATCATGTGATCTCTGCTGATGACACCAACAAGACACAGCATCAGCACGATTGATGAGAAGCAACAGAATAATTCAGGCTGAGTTCTGAGTAGGTAAGAGAAGAAGGCAGTGATGATATTCTGAGTTTGTGTGTGTGTGTGAGAGAGAGAGAGATAGAGGGATTAAGAGAGAGAGGGGGAGGGGTCAGGAGGTCAAGCATGTTTGTGTTAATTTAAAAGTGATGGAGGGGAGTTTTGTTTTCCTACCAACTTCATGGAGATCTAAGGAGTCTCTGAGTGTGTGTGTGTGTGTGTGTGAGAGAGAGAGAGAGAGAGAGAGGGAGAGAGAGAGAGAGGGAGGTCATCAGGTCACTCTGGTCATCAGTACTGGAGCTGTCTGACCGAAGATTCTCACCATCTGTATGACCTCTCCTCCTGACCAACCTGCTTTTGTTTCCCTCTCACTGAACACACAAACACACACACTCCCACACACACACATACACAGAGACATAGCCTTACAATGTACACACACTCCTCTTCATCAGAAAGTTTTTTTCATTTAGTTTTTCTCACGAGAATCAGCTTAATGAACAAGACTTGCCTACAGTTTGTGTAAAAAAAGAAGCATTTTAATGCATACAAAAAAGTATGTTCTTTTTATCCAAAATATTATATAATGAAATATTCCATAATATAAAATTGTACATGTTGTACTATAAATTGTACTATTTTAGCTAAAGTAAGATTGTAAAAAGAGACAAATCCACTGTCATAAGATCATAAAAAATGACATTTTTTATGTTGTGTTATTTATTTATAATTGTACAAATTACATGAGGTTTGACAAATTTGTACTTTCAACTGAATATGTCAGCCAAAAACGCCTAAAAATAACATGTTATTTCCTAGTTGTACAGTATGATCCACTGAAGACATCAGGACACAGGTGGATCAATCTAAGGTGACGTAGGTTAAACATTCAGTCCAATGTTTCAGTCTGAGTGACTGCTCAAAAACCGCTGAAAAAGCTGGACTTTAAGACTGATCGGAAAACTGCTACCAATAGATATTCCTTGTGTGGTCTTTTATGAACCAGGACAGGTTTTAGCCTGGGTGAACACAGCCGGTGTATGAACTGTATCAGCAGCGTCTCAGCTCTCAGCTCTCTCCTTCCCTGTGAGTGAGAAGCCATGGCCTCGCTGTGACTTTTGTCTTTGAGAGTTTGAACAAAAGCTGCAGTGTTAATCATTAACAGACATACAAAGAGAAGGCGCAGGAAGAGGAGGAGGAGGAGGTGACTTTACTCCAAACTTCATCCACTGCTGCTCTTCGGTCACTGACGACCTCACGTACACAACTGTCAGCGGTTGTCACGACCCCCAGTAGGTCAGGAGCTGAATCTGCCGGGGTCACACCATCATTAATTAACTTGATAAAAGAAAATGAAAAAAAAAAACAACAAAACTTTTTAGCCTTTTGTTTGTGTTTTTGTGTTTGTGCAGTTGTTATTTTATCATTATTCATTTCTACATATTTAAAGTGGGGGTAGTTGATTCCTTGAACTCTTCCTTGTACAAAGATTTCATCATCAGTCAGTTAGTGAGCGTTTGGAGAATAATACTGGACAGAGTTTTTTGTTAGCTTACCTCTGTTATGCTAATTTAGTTCTTCATTTGTAATTAAATCTATTGTATAATACATTTGGATACATTTAAGAATTTGGTCATTAATTTCAACCAATAGTTCTGCAGTCAATGTGCCTGAGCCAATTAGAAGAAGACTTTTAAAACCAGAACAGCACTGACTCCAGTCTGTTGTATTAAAACACGTACTTGTCTCTGTGTCTTCAGCTTCACCTTCCTTCTTCTCTGATTAGGAGTGGAGGTTTTAAACTAAAAGTCAACACAACAAACCAAACAAAGCCTCAGGTGTGTTTACATTCACACTGGAAAAATGGAACCACTCTTTTCTACTGACCTTTTTCCTTTATGGAGCAGCAGAAAAGTCTGTTGTTTACAGCAAACACAACCACAAGTCACGTTTGTGTTTTTGCATCACTGGTAAAGAATAAGAAAATCAAATGACCTTGGAACATTTTTTCTTCACCCTCATATCACATGGTTCCCTCAAGTGACATCTTGGTTAGAGCAGCGTCTGCTGGTGTCTGACACGAGGAACAGGGATGAGACAGAAAAGAAGAAAAGCGAGACAGTGTAAGTGTATAAAAAGGCGTGAGCTGCTGAGTTTCAGCTGTGGCTCTCAGACTTGGCGTCCTGCCTCACTGCCAGACACACACTGAGGGAACAGAAGAGAAGCACTTTTATTGAACTTTATTGGATCAAGGTGGAGATGCTGGAGTCACTGATCTGGGCCGGGACTAAGAAGAGAAAGAGTTAAAAGAAAGAAAGTGGACCCTGAGAGTGAATGATGTGCTTCTTACTCAACTCAAGATGGACAGATGTCAGGTATTTAAAAAATGTAGAAGTTCTACATAGGATTTTTACAGTCTTAACCTCACAATTCAAAGGTCTTTATCAGCTGGAAACCTAACGTGGCGTTCTTACCAAATGTGATCGATTAGAAACAAATCTTTAAAAGCCTGTATCATGTCGTTTTTTGTATGATTGCTTCATACAAAACACAGTCAGTAACGTAGTGAAACAGGCGAACTCTGGCCCACGCCTCTTCTGGTTTAAATGTTAAAACAGCAGCAGTGTTGATCCTCCACTGTTTACAAACTTCTCTGCTTAACATCAGCTGACATTAGGATAAACTCGTCCCTGATTGTGTGTCTCATGTTCAATTTTCCCCACTTCATTCGCGCTGCGTCAGACGCTCCAATTGCGCCACATGATATCCAATCATGTGTTGTCTGGTCTTCTACATTGATCGTGTATGTGGAGTTGTCAATCAGTCTATCACATTTGTTGTGAATGAAGAGTTGATAAGTTTTGACCTCAGCTTTACCAAAGTCCAGAGAGAATGATTTAATGTCAGAGGGACACCTGACCCACTGGTCCACTGCTGCCTCCACTGGTCATTTTGTGTCACTGTAGTACATCTGAACAAAGGATTTTAAACTTTGCAGTAACACATGTATTTGACTAAAGTTATCTTTAAAGTTCAAATTCACATCCACACTATGGTCAGTTGGAGTGAACAGTTAACCCAATCCCTGATCTGTACGTCTTTGATCTGTGGGAAGAGGACGGAGTTTGGCAACTCCATACTGAAGATCAGCAGTTAGTGCTGGGACTTGAACCAATGACATTTTCACCTGTGAACTAGTTCCTATTTAAAATAAACTACAATTCAGAAGAACAGATACATCTTCTAG